GAGTGAGAGAGTGAGTGAGTGAGTGAGTGAGAGTGTGAGAGAGTGAGAGAGTGATGATACCTGAGTCCTGGACACCAGCTTCATGAAGGGCCAGCTGTCTTCATGTCTGACGAGCTCCACAGTCAGTAGCTCACAGGCCGACAGCTCGTGGACGCCGTGGTTCCTCCCGGAGGAGCGTCGACTGGATGATGATGAGGAGGAGGAGGATGAAGCAGGGGTGAGGACGGGTCTGGAGGGTTTGGGGGGGGCAGTGGCATCTGGGGGAGGAGCAGAGGGGGGGCGTTCAGAGATACACAGACGAGCTTGTATTTCAGATATTTCAGTAATATCTGAACGGACAGGTAACTTCACACTTCATGATACAGCCTGAATAATAACAAACGTCCGTGAAGAGATAGAGATAAAGATATTTCACTGAACCTCACACAGCATCACAGAATGTTATCAGACTCCGATCGGGACTAGAAACAAAAACCTGAGGCCGGGTGAGTGTGGGTCCAGCTTCCTGCTCGTTTACCTGTCGGCTGTCTCTTGCGGGTCTCGCTCTGACCAGGTGAAGTTTTTGTGATGCCGTTTGGTGCCAGGATCTCCTGGCTCAGACGGGCGCTGTTCCGACTCCCTGAGCGAGGAGGGGCTTTACTGCCGGAGGCCATATTGGGCTTCGATATAGGGGGTGTGGCCTTCTTACCTGAGGACCTGTGATGAGAAAACGGGGAGGAGTCAGTGAGGTGGAATGAGGTAGAAACAAGTGGAAACAAAGGTTGTCAGTTACATCACACTCACTTGGAGGCTGATGAGTTTTTCCCTGCTGAGATGGTGCTGTTTTTGGGCGTGGTCTGTTGTCCTTTGGGTGTGGCCTGTTGGTTCCTGCCTTTAGGGGGGGGGGGCTGACTCCTCCTGGTGCTGCGGAGGTTCGGAGAAGCTCCAGCGTCAGACTGATCTTTCTGATTTGACTGATCCGAATATTTCCACACTCACCTCACTGCAACTTCTTCATCCTCCTCCTCCTCCGACTCCTCATCCTCTTCTGACTCCTCCTCTTCTTCCTCAGTCTCTTGCTCCTCCTCCTCTTCCTCTCCATCCTCCTCTTCCTCGTCAACAGAGGAGCGCTGACGGGACGGGACACGGCTGGATCTCTGTTTGGGTCGACAGTCTGGACAGAACCAGTCTCCCTCTGGAACCGTCTGAGACGAACAGAAACACGTTTAGTGTTTAATAGAAGTAGTTCTGCTAAAGATGCTAAAGATGCTAATGTAGAACCGGCTTCATTATAAAAACCTTCCAGCACAATGTGCACTGGATTGTACTGTGTCCCCTGGTGGTCATGTTTTGGAATTGCACTCAACTGTATGAAACTGGTGTTTGAATTAAATGTGAAACTGATAATTATGAAACAGGAACTTGATTGGCATGATGAGGGGCCTGTACCTTGAGGCGGGGCCTGAGGCAGTGGGTGTGGTGTCCTCTGTCACAGCCGTCACACAGCAGCATGTTGTCGGCGTCTCCTTTGCGTCGGCAGATGCGACAGCGAGCGTTGAGGACAGAGCGAGACCAGAGGACACTTCGCTCCAGACTGGACAGGTGGACGAACACCTGAACACACACATCAGCAGCGTGTTGATCCCACAGCAGTTTACAGGTCAGGAAAAAAAAAGGTTTTGTGGTTGACAGCCAATCAGAGCGGAGCTTTCTCTGTAGATAACAAAGGAGGCGCGTTTCCTGACCTGAGACAAACTGGAGCAGGACTGAAGAGACTCCCTCCATCGCTCCAACACCGTCTTCACCGCTCGGTCACTGCCATCTGATAGAGACGTGATATTTATACGACTTTAAACAGTTTGTATCGATGATCTGTGACTGTATATTAAGACATTATCCAAACAAAGTAAGACTTATTCTACTTATGTAAAGAAACTGATGATGTGCTTTATAACTTCGTTTCTACATGTTGTTGATCGTGACTACAGTCGTACCATCACTGGCCTGGTCCTCGTCTTTCTTCTTGTTCTTCTTCATCTTCTGGTCTTTCTTAGACTCTTCCTCACCTGTAGGGGGAGCATTTGATGGCATGTTATCCAGTACAGTGAGTTGTGTGACACACAATGGCCACTAGGGGGCGTCTAGTTAACAGCTCAGGCATCAACACATCCTCCAGAGGGGACTCACCCAGAGGAGATTTGAGGAAGCGTCTCTCGATGCCTTGCTCAACGTGAGCGAGGGCCTGAGCCAGGATTCGTATGGAGCTGCTGACAACCTGAGGAGTCCCACAGCCGCTGGTCCCACACGCCGCCACACTGTCGGACTTCAGCTCCTGCAGTCTGACACACAACACACACATGAAACATACAACACATGACAGACACACAGACAAGAAGCAGGAGACTCCTCCCTCTATAAACGTCCTCCTCAGCGCCGTGAGAACAGCAGAAACAAACACAGCTCGTCAGTGCTGCCGTCTACCTGTCTCTGACTCTCTGGTTGGGGTTCACCTCCATGGCCTCCACTCGTTCGTTCATTCCACCGTGCTCTCTGCTGTCAGAACATAGCAGCTCATAGTTTCCTGCTTCCAACGCCGAGCGCCACGCCTGTCTGTCCATCACCTGGGGACAGAGTGAGACAGATGAGTCTGAGGTCACCTGCTGGTTCTCCGATCATCGGCGGGCAGGTTCATACCTTCAGAGTTCCCAGAGTTCCCTGGTGGATGCGGTCCTCGATGTCCAGCAACAAGTCTCTCAGTCGAACTTCCATCAGAGTCTCAGCTGCAGCAATGCATTCTGGGACAGATGTGGACGACTCAGGATCATCTGGACATACAGGACAGGTGTGTGATTACAGGTGAGGATAGAGTGGATGCACAGTGGTCCAGGTGTGTGTGTGTGTGTGTGTTACCTGTGTGTGTGTATTTGTTCCTGTCACAGTTCTGCAGCAGCTGCTGCAGCCGCTCTCTCTCCTGCAGCAGCGCCTCCTTCAGGCCGCTCTCTCTGTGACCTCGAGGGTTCAGAGCCTCGATCAGCTGATCCACCTCCTCCACGGAGCTGTAGAAAGACCATTGGATGGGGCGGTTGATTGGCAAGCTGCAGGTGTGGGAGGGGGCGGGGCTTGAGCCAGTGCTGTACAGGAGGAAGGTCAAGTCGTTATTCAAACACTGAACACAGGAAATTCTTCAGACATCAGAAATGAAGCGTGTGACCCACCGTCCCTCGGCCGGTTCTTCTTTGAGGTCCTCCTCCATCTTGGTTGTGGAATCTTGTCCAGGTTTTGGCTGCGGCTGCAGCATGTCCTCCGTCAGGCCGAAAGAGTCGGCCTCCACAAACAGAGCGGAGGCCGAGGGGAGGAGCCAGTACCTGCGGTACAGCCGGTCTCTGCCCAGTGGCAGCAGGCAGGTGCAGGCCGCTGCCTTCAGGATCCGCTCCTGCAGCTCTCGAACCTACGAGACGATGGGGACGATCAGACCACCGTCTCCATGACGTTCAGAAACTGACAATCAAACATTCACGCCCACTTCATTCAAGGTTTTCTCTCAGATCTTCTTCCACCTGAGGTTCTTTAAACTGAGAGCATCAGCACAAGGTGCACACAGGTCTAGTGACTCAGTTCTAGACAAGCCACTCTGTCAGGGGTAAAGGGCTCCTCATGTTCCGATTTCTGGAACCAGGATGAGGATGTTAACAGATCCAAACAGAACCAGGATGTAGAAAACACAACCTCCGGACTGACAGGTGCTCTGAACGTATGGGAATAAAAGTTAGAATTGGAACCGTCTGATTGTCGAGTTGCTCCTCAAGAACAACTCCTCTGATTTAAAAATGGAAAGTTTAAAAAGTTTGGGCTTCCATCTCACTGGTGAGGTGACAGATTACATCACCTCTAAACAAAGAGCAAACACCGGTTTACCTCAAAGAGACAAATAATCAGACGATGTATCTCAGTGTGTTCTGACCTTCTCCTGCTCCTTCTCCAGCTCCTCTGCTGTCAGGCTGCTGGGGGGGCAGGACAGGGGTTTGGGGTCGGAGTTCATCTGTTGTTTTTCTTTGTCTTTAGCTGAAGGAGCGAGGAGACAACAATGACTCCGGAGAAAGAGGAAAAGAGTGAAAACTGTTGAGGGAAGATTTGAGGTGTTTTTTTACTTTTTGTCTTCTTGTTGGATGAAGAGTTTTGCTCCTCGTCATCCTCAGTGTGTTGCTTCTCACTGCAGACACAAACCATGTGTTCACCACAACCACACAATTTAACAACTGGAATAAAATGACAACAATCCAAACTGAAATTCATCGCTGCAGTGACGTTCTTTAGTGACTTTAAGGCTTGAATTCTGATCCATCAGTAAAATGACCACGCGGTGGTCGAACGCCAGTTTCATCTCCTTCAGATGATCCTTGAGATAAAACGTCTACAGTGAGGTCACTGTGACCTTTGACCTCTCAGATCTAATCCCTTCAGACGGCAACAAAGACCCTGAGAAGAGTTTCACACTGTGTCTCTACCTGTTTGTTTGGAGTCCTCCCTTCATCTCCTGCTCCTTCAGTTTCTCCTCCTTCTCCTTCAGCCTCTGCTCCTGTTCCCTCAACTTCTCCTCTTTACGAAGACGGACCCTAAAGGTGAAGAGGAGGAGAAGGAGGAATTTAAATTTGTTTATATTTGCACAAATGGTGTGTGTTGTGTCTACCTGTGTGTGTGTACCTGTGTGTGTGTACCTGTGTGTGTGTGTGTGTGTGTGTGTGTGTGTGTGTGTGTGTGTACCTGTGTGTGTGTGTGTGTGTGTGTGTGTGTGTCTACCTGTGTGCAGCCTCCTCTCTCTCTCTGCGGTGTTGTTCAGCTCTGATCTCTCTCAGTTCCTGTCTGGCTCCTC